GTGGTGTCGTCCCTCTGCGGTTAGTTCTCAGAAGCTGCTTCGGGATCCACATATTGGCAGCCCGGTCTCCCCCTAGCCAGCCCATTCAACTTCTGGGCCGAACCTACTACCTAGCAACTATTTCTCTGACTCTCAAATAATATTTCATTACGTTGATTAGAAAATCATCGTTCTGTAAATTCGACTCTCTTGAAAACCAGATGTTAGACTAGAAAAGGATGCAACTGGGAATCACAAGCCTTGGTTTGAATCCCTGTCCTACCACGGACCCCTCTATATGACCTTCAGTTAGTTGCTTGATCTCCTGGATGCTTCATTTTCCCATCTATCAGTTGGGCTGTTGACATCACTCTTAACCACTCCTTCCGCGACTAAGCGAGCTGGTGTATATAATTCACATAGCACTACGCCTGACAAAAGTAGGTGCTGAATCAGTGTGAATTTCCGCCTTCCCACTGTCCTGTCCAATGCTAGCCCTCAGCTGTACAAAGAGATCCTGGCAGTTACTGAGTTGGAGACTTTTCTTGCCTTCCCCATGAGTGTTCATGTCCCCAGGGTAAAGAGACCCAGCTTAGGTCCACAAATGTTCCTTGAGCGACTTGTGTACTCTCCGCTTGGCTATGGGAGAGATTTCTCTCGGAGTCAGTGATCCCCTACTTATTACCAAATGGGAAAAGAATCTGTCCCTCCCTTCTGCCAAGAGCTGGGGTTCTGCCGTCAGAACCATGCATGTTTTAAGTTGAGTGTTCACATGATGGGGTCTGCTTGCATAAATAGAAACATCCTTTTTACTAGTCATCAAGTTTTCTCTTCAAGAGCTATTACACATTTCGCAAATCCAAGGGGACAGGCTCAGTTCGATAAGAGTCTGCCAGCTCCAATTCTTGACAGCTGGATTGGCGCTGCAGACTCGGTGGTTTCCCCCAAAAACGCACAGAAGGACCAGAAGGCAACAGCTGCTCTGTACCTTGGCAGGGCTGGAGGTGGTTTGTCTGGTGAATGAGGTTTTTCAATTAAGGGCCTTGCTCAATATGGGATATTAAAGGTTTGGTTTTTGTTTTTGTTATTAACCCAGTACAACACGCTAACAGCTCAAGAGATTTAGGAATATTAAACACTCCCTCTCAGCTTCAAGATGACAGTTGATAAACATATAACCATAAGATACTGAAGACAACAAAGAACGGGAGGAGACATTTGAGCCCTGGGAGATTAATAAATAATGAGGAGCGAGTGTAGTCAAGCCACAGATCCCCAGCGGGGCCCATTACTTGGGCTCCTGCATAAAGCCAGAGAGGCAAGCCTAGCTCCTATAATTCTGTTAACACTAACAACTAGTCCTTAAATGCTCTCAGATGTATACAACAGGGGTATTTATATTCTCTTAGCAAACAGAGTGTTGTTCCAGAATCGTGAACAGTGATTTAGTTTGGCGAATTGGGTAATCTAATCACTAGCTTTGTCAGCTGCCTTTGTACTTACTTGCTAAGGGGGCCTCCTGTTCCCTGCTGAGCTGTGGTTCTCAGTCTGCATCCTCCGGAGCCCTCACGTTCCATGGAGGGTCTTTAGGGCACAGCTGGGTGGGCGCAGCTGGGTGAACTTCTAGGCCCTCTCCACCTGCTTCAGGGACAGCCGCTCCACTCTTACCTGCTCTGTACTTTAGAGAACATGGAAGATTCTATTTGGAATGAAAGGGTTTTTGGGGGGATTTTTTTGCTTCAGAACAGAAACTTGAAACTCAGTGGTGCCATGATGTTCGCAACCTTTTGTAAGTTACTTTTCCCCTCACTGGTACGTTTCTGAAATGTAACCATGTCGGTATACCTAGGTAGAGTTCAATCCTTGTATGAATACACCATAATATTTCATTCCCCTTCTCATGGATATTTAGATGATTTCCCCTTTTTCACCATTTGAAATAATGCCTCAGTGAAGTTGAGGACATTTTTTTTTTTATATCAACGGTGAGGGGTGGTGAGCTCCGAGCTGGCCAGGAAGGGAAGAGACAGCAGGAGGGGGCAGATGGATAGTGAGAAGCAGGGAGTGGACAGAGGACTAGAAATTGCATGGACATGATCGAGGCAGGACGTGATAGGGCAAGGGGTCTGTCAGCTGCATGATCCAGAGGTAGCAGAGAATAAGCCATGATAAGGCCCCAAGTGTGATGAAGGACACAATCTGGCTTGTAGAAAGCACTTAAAAGTGAAGGTAAATTGAATAGGACTGCATTAAATTAAACTGAATTTAATTTTACCGAATCAATGAGATGCTAATCTTGCACATTTTAAACATCATGGTTCCCTTTTCCTCCCCCACCCTAACTCCCTCAATGTTAAACCAGCATATGGTTTGTAGAAGCTTCAAGAACATCAAATATAAATTAGATCAGGGATGGAGTTTCTGAAAAATGAATAATAAATGTTTGCTTATATTAGTATCTCACTCATTACAGAAAAATGTTGAGGTTATGACAATTTTGTGAAATTCAGATCCCCTTAAGCTCTCAGGATCCACTTTCTTGATATCGTGAGCATTTTTGCTCTTGGAAGATTTTGCTTCCTGTCTCCAGAAGCAAAAGGCAACCTACAGAACTTTCAGAACGTGTAATTATTAATTTGAAAATAATTTTGGTAGACATCTATCTTTTACATTGCCTTGAATTATAATATTGAGTGGAAACTACATACGAATTTTTTTTAATTTGAATTTGGGTTTTAGTCAATCTAAAATACTGTATATGTTAAACGTCTTTGTAACAATATGATTTAAATCATTTCTTGCATCGCTGGGTGTTGTCCCCAGTGGTGGATTGTGGAGACAGTTAGCCAGGGGAAAACCCCAAGTAAACAGGATTCAGTTTGCATTTGGGGTGGGGCAGGCTTTTCCTCTCTCTTTTTTCCTCTCTGCAAACCCTGACCATGTGATGCTTTGACTCTATCCCTGTGGCTCCGATTGCCTTTACTTTTGGGAGTGTGCATTATTTGAAAACCATCTCAAGTCAGAGCTTCAGGCCAAACTGAGAATAATGACTAATTGGGAGGTCGCTGAAATTACTTGTTCAATTTATATATTTATTTATATCCTATAATAAGAAAAGTAGTTTTAAAACAGAGGATATTGTTAGCATTTATGAATATGAAATTCTGGTTGTTCTAACACAACAATTAAAGTTATGACCAGCAATCTTGATTTGGAGTAACCCCTATCATAAAAAGCCGAGAGCTAGTAACTCAGCTGATTTTAAATATGACAAATGAGGCGACAGTCTAGCGTCTACCCTGATTATCAGCTCAGAAATGGCTTCAGCTGATCATCAGGGGACCAAGTCTCTAAGTCTTTGCCGTCTCACTGTTTGGTCTGGACTAGAAAGATTTTTTTTTTAAGACTTTATTTATTTATTTGAGAGAGAGAGAAGGAGCAGTGGGGAGGGACAGAGGGAGGGAGAGAGAGAGAGAGAGAGAAGCAGACTCCCCGCAGAGCAGGGAGCCCGATGCAGGGCTCCATCCCAGGACCTGGAGATCGTGACATGAGCCAAAGGCAGACGCTTAACCAACTGAGCCACCCAGGTGCCCCTGGACTAAAAAGTTATAATGGTATGGCTTTATCTCCTAGGCCAGACCCCATGCATCAGTCATAGCTCCTGGGGGCTGTGCGGAGTATGCTGGCATCAATTAGTGATGCACCAGGGGCCAGGGCGGAATAAAAAGCAAATCTGAAGTCAGAGCATCAAGGTCAGAGTCTTATCGCCACCCTTTATTAGCTGTGAGCTATCTTGGGCAAGTCACCCATTCTGCGACCTCAGCTTTCTCATCTACAAAACATGGATAACAAAAATTAAGAAAATTGGGATGCCTGGGTGGCTCAGTCAGTTAAGCATCGGGCTCCCTGCTCCGCTGGGAGTCTGCTTTTCCCTTTGCCTTGCTGCTCCCCCCCACCCCTGCTTGTGTTCCCTCTCTGTCTCTCTCTGACAAATAAATAAAATCTTAAAAAAAAAATTAAGAAAATTAAAATCAACACCACAAATGAGAAAGAAATCTTACTTGCTGTTAGTATGTCTTGCCTATCCCAGTCTGGCGTTTCTCCTTTAGGTTCGCGATATTTTAGTACTTCTGTCACCCTTTTGGCAATTAGTTGCAAACTACCTACCATCTCGCATTAGTGCATTGTATGATGTCATGCTCACTTCCTGTTCCTTTCCCTACTGCCCACACTTTCTAGACTGGGCCCCTCCTGCCATAGGCGATCAATAATTATGTGTTTATTGAATGAATGCAAACCTATTACTGATAGCATTTTTAAAACTTTAAATGTCCACAATCAGATGAATATAGCTTTATTTTCTCATTTATTTTTTATTTTCTATCTTTTTATTTGGAGAGACATATTTTGCATTTTATTTGAGAGGACTGTTATTATTTTATATTCACAGGATCATAGGTTTTATTTTTTTTTCCTCTTAAAGAATTTTAAATTGGGTTTTATTTTCAAGGAACTGAGCTGTTTTCTGTGCTCAGGCAGCCCCATGGGCCAGTTTGAAGAGGGTGCAGGCCAATGGGCTTGGTGGATCAGGCACTGGGGAGGCTGCGAACACCTTCGGGGGGGGTCCCCCTTTCTGGGCTGAGCGCCGGCAGGGGGCTGGGTTCGCCCACTTCCTGGTAACCCATCTCCTTCCTTCTTGAAATCTTCCTCCCCGCCTCCCCGTGCCCCCTCGGCTGACACCACGCTACCACACTCCTAGGAGCAGAGACTTTTACATGATTTACTTAGCGATGTGCCCTAGTCACAGCTTCACGCCATCTGGACCCAGCCTTTCCCTCTCCACTTCATGATGCCTTTAAGATCCAGGTCTCCTAAGAATCGACTGTGCTTCCACATAAATCATATTGTCTAGCTGGCTAGAAATTTCTTTGACTTTCTGCTTATCGCTGCAAGAACGGTTAGTTCCCTACTGCTGCCGCCAAGCAGGTAACCGAATGTGTTTCTTCTTTCCCTGGTGACAGGCGCATCTCATCGTGCTGAGCAGAAGCCCCTCCCAAGAGGAGGCAGCAGTCTCCGCACATTTTGTCGCCCACGCTGCCATCGCTTCTGGGAGGACCGAGCACCACGGTGAGCTCAAACCTTCTGTGGGCGGGGCTCGCTGCCTGCCTGTCTGTGCAGGCGTGGCTGGGTCTGTAACCAGCTGCCTTTAGGACAGGCCAGCAGGTGGCGGAGCTGGGACATAAGCCCCTTGGAGAGCTTTGGCGGCTTTATGTGGCCGTTCCTAGCTGAGCCACTCCCTTAGCTTCGCCAGTGTCTTTTGGTTTCTGTCCTGTTCGGCCTTTCTCCAGTCTTTTACTTTCAAATCCAGGGAATCTTCCTCCAAGCGGAGCTATTAAGAGCCCCCAGAGAATCCATGCTGGGCTTACGGGAAAGTCTGCTCTGCTTTCAAAGGTGATCTATTTTTAAAGACTGTTGTGGAGCTACTGTGGCAACAGATCTGGCTTGTCAGAACCCAGCCCACAGACTTTCACAGCACCGGGCTTTCCATCAGGATGAACTTACATGGTTTCAGGAGTCCAAGAGGAAGTTGCCATTTATGACTCATACGGTTTTTCTTAGCCCCATGTAATAGGTAGAGCAGCGAGCTTGGGGAGTTCTTTAACCCACCCTTCTGGACTCCGAGCATCCAGTATGCCTCTGTTGATGGAGAACACACATTCCAGTGACTTTTTAAGGGGGGGGGGTTCAGAATATTCAGAAACAGAGTATAACTCGTGAAGAAGACCTAGGGGTATATTCCAAAATATCAGATAAAAATAATCATGTACTATAGTAAAATAAGATCCAATGTGCCAGCAAGCCTAAAATTGAGATCCAAAATAATTGAGGTTCAGGAAGGAGGAGTTGGGCTACGATGTAGAGGCTGGTGGGTAGGCGAAGACAAAGGGGGCACCTCTATGAGCAGCTTGGTCTGCACAGATCCCCAGGCCAGGCAGGGGCTCAAGTCCAGGGTGGAGCTGGTGAAGGGGATTTGGAGTTTATCCATCTGTCCATCCCACCTTACAGACTCCTCATTCTGGTCTCCTGGAGCTTTGAGCACCTTTCAGAGGCCGGCAAACTTTCAGATCCCCTCTCTCTGGAACACTCCATATATAACAATCAACTTCAAAACCTTCAAAGAGCTAGCAGTTTTTTGACCAGCTTATTGGTGCTTAAAATTTCTTTAATGGGGGAAAAGAACCTTCCACTCCCAACTATTGAGACAGTTAAGATGCCAGTGCAGGTTTGATGGAAATTCCTAGACTAGCAGGAGTCACAAATCTACATGTCTGTAGGAACCAAGTAAGCCGTGTGAGTGACACAGATAGTCATGACAATACAGTAGCAGCAGCAAGACAATACGGAGCGCTGAGGACTGTAGCAAACTGGAGAAGCCATACCCCATGGAAAGTGAGCAGCGGTCTCTCACTTTCGCCCATTACCATCAAGTGGAAGGCAGGCTTCTATGGCAGATCTGCTTTTTCAAGAGAAGGCAGAAATCTAGATTTTTATGTGTAATTGATGCTAACTAGCTCAAATATGTTTCAGACTCTGAGTGGGGCAAAACCAGTGTGAGGGCCAGACCTATAACTTCTGACCCGGAGAGCGGGTGTATAATGAATGCTTGTCAGACTCTTCCTGTTTTCCTCAAGGCCTCATGGGTTTCAGATAACCAGAGGGTTCTGAGCATTTAAATTGGTAGGATAGGGATCGGGGAGTCTTGGGTATTCCCAAGAGAATGCCAAACAGCTAAGGGCGCCTGGGTGGCTCAGGCAGTTAAGCAGCTGCCTTTGGCTCAGGTCATGATCCTGGGGTTCTGGGATTGAGCCCCACATCGGGCTCTCTGCTCAGTGGGGAGTCTGCTTCTTCCTCTGCCCCTCCTCCCACTTGTTCTCTCAATCTCTCTCTCTTAAAAAAAAAAAAGGAGAGAGAGAGAATACCAAACAGCTAGGAGACCAAGGCCCAAAGACCCTCTATGCCTAGAGGGATTCCCATTTGCCAGCATCTCCGCTAGTTAAAAAATGTATGTATTGGGTGAGGACCGATAGAACTTGTGTCCTGAAATGTTTTTCCCTCTAACTGCAAAGTTAAGCCACTCTGTTTTGCATGACTCACAGAATCAGACAATCCAAATATATATATACCTATATTTTTATTTATAGTTTTTAGTCTAAATATAGTGTGGGTATTATAAATTGAGAATGACAGTGATACCATAATAAGATCTGTGAGAATTTAATGACCTCACACAGTAATAATGGTAGTAACAGCTAATGCTTACATGGTTCATATGGGCATGGTTCTAACCAGTTACATTTATTAACTCAGTTAATCCTCACAACATCTCCATGAGGTTGGTATAAGTACTTCCAGTTTCTGGTGGAGAAACGGAGGCACGGAGAGATTAGGCAATTTCCCCAGGGGCGCATAGCCAGGGATTAGCAGATTTGAACCTAGGCTCTTGACCTCCTTGTTACATTAAAAGGTCTGCAAACACCACCTTTCCTTCCTTGCCCTGCCACCCTCCACCTGCTTAGGCCCGCCGAGGAGTCTACGGCATTTGGGACAGAGAAAGGACTAGAAAAGCGGAGGCAGCCCAGAGAGATGGGTTGGGAGAGCCAGGGGGCAGGAGCCAGTCCAGGAGCACACATGGGCTCTCGGTTCCCTCTGTCTTTGGCAGCCTGAACCCTGCAAGCTGCCTTGACAGTCAGAATTTGAACTACAAGAGGAGTGTAAAGATGGAAGAAAACTTCCCCCCAGGAGCAGGGAGCTGCAATTGGCTTTACAGACTAGGGAAGGGGGTCACTTCTGCTTGAGGCTTAGTGAATTGGTTGCTAGAAACATAGGCAGCAGGAATCATGGTAAGCATAGCGTTACTAGTAACAATTAGTAGCAGGAATCGAGCTGGCCTTGTCTGCAGATGCTGGAACTCTCACACACGTGCTCACTTAATCCTTTTCACAAGCCTGAATTTTACAAGTGAGCGAACACAGCCAGCTCCCATCCCTGCCCGGTCCATCCATCTATATTCTGTCTACTCATTGCTCTACCCAAAAAGGACATAGTCCCTCTCCGTCTGTAGGGTGCCTCTAGATGAGCCCTTCTCGGGCTCAGCTTCTGCAAATCAGAAGACAGTGGAAATGGCTTGCACTTTGATGCCATTAGGAAGAAAGTTTACTGAAGCCTTAAAGGCGAGTCAGTGCTAAGTGAGGTTGGGCAGTGAAACGGTGGGATCAGAACAGCTGCTTGTCGGGCAGCAACATGAATCCTGGGAACAGGTGCAGAGAGGAGCCCAGCCCCCGTCCCTAAGGCCTCAAGCCATCTAAATGGGCATGTTAGAAACAAACACAAGCAAGGAGAAACCCCAAACTCTTCCTACTGTGTTCACCAGTTTGAAAACTGCATCTGTCAGAATCCTGGTTCCCTTGGTGGCGAACGTGGAAAAGGCTGTGGCAAATCAACTGATCGTCCGGCATCGTGAGATCCAGAGTTTGTTCTGGCTCTTACCCACAATGCCTAAGTGTGGTGTGGGCCGAGGGGACCCATGTTACAGGCATGGAGTCAGTGTGCCTTTGGAAGCAGGAGTGAGCTGGGCCCTGCCCAGCCAGGAGCTGCAGTAGGAGTGGGCGGGCGCATTCAGGTAGCCTGGGTTTTCTAGTCATCTCTCTGTGACCCCCTCACAGGCCAGTGCCCCCCACAGTGGGAATGAGGGAAACCCACCCAGGTCTCTGCTGCCTCCAGCAACTAAGGGGAGCTAAGGGGAGACCACCCCGCAACACACACACACACACACACACACACACACACACACACACTGGTTGGCTTTCCCCCCGGGACGGCAGAGCTAAGGGGAGACCACCCCGCAACACACACACACACACTGGTTGGCTTTCCCCCAGGACGGCAGGACTGTGATCTGGACCTTAGTGACTTTGAGTGTAGTCCCAGCCAGATCCCCTGGGGGCAAATCTGCATGTTCCATCCAGTGCCATGGAAATCCACAGGCATGGGGACCTCAGCTCTGCTTCCCTGTGCTTAAACCTGTCTATGTAGAGTACAGATTTTTTTTTTTTTTTTTTAAGAATCATTAATGAGAAAAATTTCTCATTTGGGGATTCTCCATAGCCTGCTCGATAAATGCCCATTGAAGGCATTGCCCTCTGATAAACAAAATGCCACTGGCCAAGAAGCTAGCATGTTTCAGGCTCCACACTCAAGCGAATCCTTTTGCCCTGTGCCTTTCCTGCATTCCTTATGCAGACAAAACTGCCCTAGAAGTCACGAAGGATTGTGATTGCATAAGGACTTCCAATTCAGGCTCCTGGAATGTCACTAACCTGAGCCTGGCCCACTTCCCGGAGCGGCCATAGACAAACTTGGTATTAACAGCTCTCCCAACCCTGCTAAGTGTTCAGAGCATTGGCCTTGCCTTCATAACTCTTCTCCTAAAGGATATTAAAATGAAATGGGCGGAAGCCAAGTACATTTCAGTGTAAACCTTTGAGAGGCAGAGGCTGCCAAGCACAGGCGGCCTTGTTTGGAAGTGGCTCCATCTACAGCCTGGGCTCTGTAGGGTCCGGACGCAGCAGGATGGAAGGGGCCCTGTCAGAGCCTTGGGGGCCGGCGGTGGGATCCCTGGCTATAGGAACCAGACTCATGAGTGTAGGTGCATTCCCAAGCTGTAATTCCCCAAGCACCAAGGTATATATTTCCTTGGCCCCCACTTATCCTAGGCTCTCCCCACATTTTGCACAGTAGACATAAAATATGTAAGTACCTGATGCTAGGCATTGCCTCTTGAGGAAGTCTCATGTTTTATATACCTCCGTGATCCTCCCTTTTCTCAACTCTTCCTCCTGTGGCCTGCCTTCTCAGCCTGCCCCTCTGCTGGGTCCTGTCCCACCCCCAGCCCACTCCCCGCCCACTGAGTTATCGATGCTCCTTAGGCCCTGTGTGTCCGACGGAGACAGGAAGTCAGACAGGCTCTGGAACACGCACACGCCCAGCTCCAGTGGTCTCCTGACAGTGGTAACCTGGCCACCCAGGAGCAGCCACAGTCAGGTGGCCTTCACCTGCCTGTGGCCCTC